TTGGGTGGGCAGAGCGAGGGCTCCTGGGAGCTCGCAGCTCCAGCCAAGGACCCGGGTCTCTTCCTCATTGAGCCAAACACTTAGCCCCAGGCCTGAAATTCCACCATCAGCAGGAGGTCCCTGAGGTTCAGCCTGGTGCCCCGTGGGGACAGGCCCCGTGTGGTCTGTGGGCGTAGCTGCATCTTGGCCTTTCCTTTCAGACTGGAATCAGCACAGGATAAAGCTCAGGTGTTAGACTATGGTCCCGTTCTCAGTTTGTCCGGTTACACCCTGACTCAGTTTCCCCATCTGTAAAATAGGGCTAACATAGTTCTTCCCTCACAAAGCTGCTGCAAGGATGAAATGAGCAGATGAGCCGCACACTTCGCAGCCCTCAGCGCGGTGCATGGGGAGCACCGTGCACGCTCAGTGTTATTATCAGTTATTGCGACACTGACCCCACACTGCCTCCCCCACTGGACAGCAAGGTTCCTGAGAGTTGGAGCTGGTCTGGTTTCTCGTCACGTCTCTGGTGCCCGGTTGAGTTCATTCAGCAGAGCTTGGTGTACAGTAGTTGCTCAATAAGCGTTTGTCACCCTACTGGGTTTGGCTCAGTGGTTAGAGCGGCGGCCTGAGGCCTGAAGGGTCCCGGGTTTGATTCTGGCCAAGAGCACTTACCTTGGTTGCAGGCTCGATCCCCGCCCCGGTCGGGGAGTGTGCGGGAGGCAACCAATCAATGTGTCTCTCACATCCATGTTTCTCTCTCTCTCCCTTCTACTCTCTCTGAGAAGCAATGGAAAATATATCCTTGGGCAAGGATTAAAAATAATAATAATAATAAAAGAAATAAACGTTTGTCAGTGAATGAATGGAGACTGCGAGGTACAGGAAAGATCTAGATAATGAGAATCCACACACACCCAGTTAGTCCACATACATTTCTTGAGCCCTTACCCTGTGCCTGCTCCATGCTGGGTGGTGTTGGGACCCATTGGTGACGGAGTCAGGCCCTGCCCTCCCAGGGTTCACAGTCCATCGGGGAAACAAATCTGTCTTCAGATGGTAACAACCCAGAGTGGGCAGGGCTGAGGTGGGTGAACTCAGCAGAGACCTGACCCAGCCTGGGGGTTAGGGAGGGCTTCCTGGAGGAAGAGGTGTCTAAGATGAGACCTGGAGGATGAATGGGGGTGGGACTTAGTAGAGTGGAGTGGGGTGCCTGTGGACATGGTTCAGGCAGAGGGAACAGAATGTGCAAGGGCCTGAAAGAAGTTCAGTTCGGTGGACCATAGACCACAGGGTGGGGGTGAGGGACAGTGGGTGCTGAGACGTCAGGCCAAGGGGTCCCCAGGAGCCAGACCTCGAAAGGAGTTGAAGGCTGTGGTGAGAAGTCTGGACTTTTAGGTCACTGGGGAGCCATGGATGGTTCTGAGCAGGGAAGGGCAGTGTTGAGTTTGGGCTTTAGAAAGATGCCTTGGATTGGCTTGTGGTGGGAGGACGGCAGGGGGCAGGAGACCAGGTAGGAGGCGGGGGAGAGGATTGGGAGGAACAGCCTGGCCCAGGGCTGGGCTGTAGAGACCACAGAACACTGAGGTCAGGAGACCTAGGTGGCAGGTTCCAGTGTCTGCTCCAGTGACACTGAGGGAGGGAGGTGCCCACGTTTTAGGCCTGTGGACTCCGCCTGCCTAGGAGGGTAAAGAAAGCGGCAGAGGCTGGGGGCAGGTGCGCGGAGAGTGGGCCTCACGCAGCCGGGAGTCCTGTCCGCGGTCTGCACAGTCCTCTGCTGCCCCCTCCTGGCTGCAAGTTGACTCCCGTCCTGCCCGCCAGTCTCGCAACAAAAACAGACCCAATTAGCCCAAACCCCACCCAGTGATAAAAGGGGACGTTTCCCGAGTGGCCGCGGTGCGGGCCACACTCACGTTCACTGTCCCTAATCCCACCCACACCTCGCACCTGGGTCTCCCGCCGCCTTCTCCCGCCGACGCGTCGAACTGAACTCCCGACCGGCGTCCCAAGCCCCGCCCTCTTCTTTCTTTAAAAAAACACTTATTGGGGGCTCGCTTGGGCGGCACATACGCTAAAATTGGAACATACAGAGGAGCGCAGCACGGCCCCTGCGCAAGGAGGACACACACATTCGGGGGGCGCTCCATATTTCAAAAACAAAACAGTTTTATTGGGATATAATTCACATACCACATAATTCACCCATTTAAAGTGCACAGGTCAGCGTTTTTGGTATATTCGTAGGGTTGCGAAATTATCACCACAATTTTATTAGTTAATTTTTAAAAATACCTTTTTATTGATGTTAGAGAGGAAGGGAGAGGGAAACATGGATAGACTGCTTCCTGCGCGCCCCCTACTGGGGACCGAGGGCATGGAGCCAGGCATCTAATCAGCCAGACCAACGGAGCTACACCTGCCAGGGCACCACGGTCAATTTTAGGACCTTTCCATCACCCCCACAGGAACCTTGTGCCAATTAGCAGCCGCTCCCCGCTCCTCCCTCGCAGCCCCTTTCTGTCCCTGTGGATTTGCCTATTCGGGACATTTCATATAAGTGGAACCCTACCAGATGTGGCCTTTCGTGTCTGGCTCCTTTCACCTGCCATAACGTTCTCAAGGTTCATCCCTGTTGTAGCATGGGGCGCCGTTCCATTGCTTTTTCATGGCTGAATAGTATTTCCTAGTCTGGATAGACCACATGATGTTTACCCTTTCCTCTGCCGACGGACATTTGGACTGCTTCCACCTGTTGGCTATTATGAGCCATGCTGCCGTGAGCATGTGTGTACAAGCTTTCGCGTGGACGTATGTCTTCATTTCTTGCAAACCAGGCCCCTTTGCAGTGTGACCCCCGCCACTGCCCCCTGCCACCCTGTCGCACAAACCAGACCCCTGGGAGTCCCCTGGCTCCAGGGCCTCAGCTTTCGCAGCACCTGCTTCGTTCTCCCTCCTAACATCGGCTCCCCTGGGACATCACAGTCCACACTTTATTGTCAGCTCTCCAGGGCAGGGACCTCTGTGAGTTTACAGGCGCCTCTCGGTGCCTAGAAGAGCTGCACAGAGCAGGTGGTCAATGACTGTTTGTCGAATTGATGAACAGATAAGTTATTGACATGCCCCCTCTCTAATCACCCACAGCTAATCCAGGACCAAATTCTATCAATGTTCCATTCTAAATATCTTTTGACTTTGTGTACTTTTTCCCCTGGGGCACCTCCAACACCCTGGCCCAGCACCTGCCAATTGAATACCTGGAGGAGGGCAGGACTGCCTGGAACTTTCTCTCAGGAGAGCGTAGTGGTTGAGTGTGGGCTCTGGTGTGAATCCCAGTGGTGTGTCCCTCGGGCTGTTCCTACATATTTCAGTTCTCCTCATTCTGGTACATGGTAGGACTGCACCTGCCCGGCCCGCTTGACTTGCTTTGGCCAGTGAAATGCAAGTGGGAGTGTGACTTCCCAGTTGGAAGTCTTCAAAAGCCAGTGCGTGGTTTGCCGTGGTCCCTCCTCTTCCCTGCACAGTGATGGGCTCTGTCAGCCTGGTTCCCGAATGAATAGATGTGAACCAGAGCTCTTCGGACCCTGGTCACACCTGCCTACCTGAGATGAACACGTAGCATGAGAAAGAGAGAAAGCTTTGATATTTTAAGCCATGGGGATTGTGGGGTTGTTACTGCAGCATAACCCAGCTCATTCTCACCGCAGTGCTGGTCTTTCCTTATACTCGCTGTGTGACCTTGGCATAGTCACTTCACCTCTCTGAGCCTCCATTTTTCCATCTGCAAAATGGGACTAGAAGAGCCCCAGCCTCGCAAGTTAATTGTGAGAATTCAAGAAATTCAGACGTGTAAAAGCACAGAGGCTAGGTGTTCGCACTGGAGCTATTATTATTATTATTATATTTAATTCTGGTTTTATAGTAATGAAGGAAAAGACCCCTTGGGTAACCCCATTTCCTGAGGCTGTAGTAAGAGGAGTCCGTATTAGTCAGTTAGGGTTGCCATAACAAAACACCACAGACTTGGTGGTTTAAACCACAGATTTTTATTTTCTCACAGTTCTGGAGGCTGGAAGTGCACGATTAAGGTGTCAGCAGGGGCGGTTTCTCCTTAGGCCACTCTCCTTGGCTGGCAGACAGCTGCCTCCTCGATGTGGGAAATGAGTCCTGTTGGCTCAGGGCCCCACCCTATGGCCTTATTTAACTTTTTTTTTCACATTTGATATATTTTAATGAACACATTACAGATACAGTTGAAGGCTCCCCTGTGTACAGCTTCAGCCTCTTCCTCCTACCTCTCCAGAGGTGAAACAAGCCAGATTTTGGTGTTTGTCATTGTCACACAAGCTTTTATGCTTTGGGGTGTGTGTACACCCCAGTCTTTGTTTCACGTGTTCTAAACGAGTCTTACCACTTGGCCATTTGAACTCCTTGCTTTTGAGATGTAGTCAAGTTAATACACATACTGTGTATTAATTCATTTTAACGGCCAAATATGGCAAATATACCACAGTTTATCAATCCATTTTCTAATGGGTTTTTACAATGAAAAACAATACTGAAATGAGCTTTCTGTACATGTCTCCTTGAGTACACGTCCAAGGATCCCTGCAGAATGCAACACCCAGAGACTAGATGCAAGAAACTAGAATACACTAGATGCTAGTGTATAGCATCTCAGGTAAACCCGTTGTTTTCAAGTCACTCTCCAAAAGAGAACTTAAATTTCACCGCCGCCAGCAAAGATGAGAGCCCATCGCTCCAGACCCGTGAGCACGTGGAAGTGCCAGGTTTTTTGGTTTGTTTTAATTTCGCCCACCTGACGGCAGTGGAGCGGCATCTCAGTGCTGTTGGGTTTTTAACTCTCGTCATAGAATAAGCTGTTTGATGTCTGGCTGTGTCTTTAGTGAGTCCACCCAATCAGCCCACAGCCCTGATGGCGTGGTCCTGCTGAGTCCCGGTGTGGCTTTTCTGCGGGCATGTGGTGCCTTCTCCCCACTGGCCTGGCTGCGGGGGCCCCTTCAGGGGGTTGGCACCAGCTGGCAGTAAGGGGCAGAGTCGGGGTTCAGCAGTTCCTGGGGGAGGGGGAAGAGAGAGAGGGATTGTTGTTAGGGGGGGTGAGAGTAAGGGGGAGACAGAAAACCAGCTAGAGACTGGGAGACACGGAGAAAAACGCACCCATACGGAGAATGGAAAGGCCAAGACAGAAAGAGAGACACGGAGACATGGAGATATTGGAAGAGCCGGAAAAAGGGGCGGACATGGAGTGACAGATAGAGACGGGAGAGACAGACACCAAAAAGGGTGAGAAGAGACAGAGAAACAAAGAGATGTGAGGAGATACAAGAAAGAGGGAAAGACAGAAGGAGAGAGAGAAAGAGAGGAGTGGAGACACACAGAGACTGACAGGCAGACCAACAGGGACACAGGGGGAGACAGGGACCCAGGGGCAGACAGGAGGGGTGGGTACGGCTGAGACCCAGGCCCAGGGAGGGGCCTTGACCCGCTGTGGGACCTTGCAGAGGTCCTTCCCCTCGCTGGGCTTCATTTCCTCCTGAGCAAATTCATAGCCTTGAATCCCTTTGACAAAAGAGGAAACTGCGAGCCCAGGAGGGGAAAGGACTCGCCCAGGGTCTCTCAGCCAGGCTGTAACAGGCTTCCTGGGAGCTACAGACCCCAACAGTGGGGAGTGGTGGTGAGGACAGCCCCCTCCCAGCGGTCTCCAGGACCCTTCCCGACCTGCCTCCCCGCCCCACACCTGGTAGTGCTGGTTCTCTGGTACCTGCGGCGGGGGTGGGGGCAGGGCCGGGGGCTGCAAGGGAAGAGCACAGGTGAGCCAGGCCCGGGCACCTCCCACCTCCCACTCTTTGACCTTTGGGGTTAGGCCAGACCTGATTCCCAGGCGCCATCGCCCCTCCCTGACTGCGGGGCCCTGGGTGAAGGGTACAGCCTTCCTGCTTCTCAGGGTTCTCCTCTGAGAAATGGGTGTGAGGACATTGCTTCACGGGCGGCATGTCCAGTGGCCTGCCGATCACACCATCGACACAGCCTCCCCGTCAACACCTGTGGTTCTACATTTTTAGTCTTAGCTTCTTAAGCTTCTCTTCTTATTTAACTTAATTCTTATTTTTATCAATCCTTCCCACCTGAGTATAAAGGGAATATATGCTCAGTGTAGAAAATAAAGACCAGAGAGGCACTAGAGCCCACCCCCAGCCTCCAGGCTCAGAGACAAATGCGCTTGATGCTGTTTCCTCCCAGTCTCTTTTCCTTCTGCTTTTAAATAAGGAAGGATGCTGGGAGGCGGTCACAGTTCCCAAATTGCGGGAAGAGGCACCACAGCCAACTGGAGGGGAGGCACCAGGTCAGAGCAGGCTTAGCAGAGAGAGGTGGGGGCTCACCGTGGCGGTGTTCATGGGCCCCGTGTCACTAAGAGGGAACTCCAGGAGGGCTGGAGACGGCATCACTTCATAGATGTTGTTGTCATCTGAAGCAGAGGACAAGAGGAGAAGCCAGCTGACACGTGGCTGAGGCCCACTCTGGCTGCTGTTGACATTCATGTATTCATTCAACTAACGTGTGCAAACCCTTCTTCTTGCCCAGCCCTATGCCAGGGACACAGCAGTGACTGAGGCAGCCGGGCCCTGCCCTCCAGGGGCTCACAGTCTAGTGTGGGGACAGACCTGTCCCCAGAGAGGGATGACCTAGAGTGGGCAGGGCCAGAGTGGTCTGTATGGATATATATATATATCCATATATATATAAATATATGTTGTTTTGTTTTGTTTTGTTTGTTTGAGAATGGGAATGTTACATGTAAGAGATGAAGCCAGGAAAGACTGTGGGGGCCAGTTTATGGGAGTCCTTGAGAGACATGTTAGGGAGTCTGAAGTTTATCCTAAGGGCACTGGGGAGCCATGGAAGGTCTTTGAGTAGAGTTTTAGAAGGACCCTGCCAGGAATGGTGTGAAGGCTGGCCCGGAGGCTGAAAGACCAGTGAGGAGCTGGGTGTGGGGATCTGGGGGGTGGAGCCTGAGGTGGGCTGTGGCCTGTTGGTGGCTAGGTGTGGTGGTGACTGGGGACAGGTAGTGCCAGTCACTGAGGAGAGGAGAAAAACAGGTTTGGGATGAGTGCTGATGTCCTCAGAATCTGTGGGCTGAGTTTGGGGACCCCAGAGAGGTCTGGGTGAGGCAAATGTTTGGGGGCCCCAAGCAGGAGAAGGCAAGGGGGTTTGTTGCTGGCGGAGAAGAGGAAAAAGCCATGAGGACGCTGGGTAGCAAGACAGGGCCCCCGACTTACCAGTGTTATGACTGGGGCCCAGCTCCAGTTTCCCTGTGGTGGCTGTCCTGGGGGCGTGAGAGGGAACCGACGTTAGTGCAGTCAAACGTTCAGGTAGGTGGAGAGAGACCCGGGGGAGCCAGAAAGCCCACCAGGCCCCAGAGAGATGGTCCCTGCTTCAGAGTGAGCCAGGACGAGGCCTGTTCAATCCATGTCTCTTCTCCCATAGTCCCCAGCCTCACAGCCCGTCCTCAGTTTCCCCAGCCTCCATCTTAAGCCAATGAGCAACGTTTCTCCAAGGTCACCATTTATATAGACCACCTAAGCAATTCTGCTCCATCCACCTGCTCATGATTTCCTTAATATTTCTCTGTAGGCACCCTCCCCACCCCATGCTTTTCCCCCTCTCCTTCCCTCAAGGCGAGAACCTTTGCTCGCTCTTTCTCTCTCCTAAGCTCCAAGAGCCCTTCTTTTGCCTCTGCAACTGTTTCCTGAGCCCATGCAGCCCAGCTGGCTCACTTTTTCAACCTCTGTAACTTTCTAGATAAACTTTTGCTTGTATTTGAAAGAATAAATTTCTCTTTAAATTGGTTCATTTGAATACTTTTCTTTAAAAAGTACACTTGGCATCACTACCACAAATTTGTAAATTCACTGAGTAAATATTTATGGAACACCAACCATGAGCTGGATACTGTTGAAGACACTGGGGACACAGCTGGGAACAAGACCGACAAAGAGCCCTGGCCTCCTGGAGCGGACACTCTGGTGGGGGGAGAGAGAGAGAGAGCCATAGATTAGATGATAGATAGATGATAGATAGATAGATAGATAGAGAATTTGAATAAACAATAAACAGTGGAGTGAGATATATTATAAAGGAAAATGATGAAAAGGAGCAGAAGGTGGAAGGGGTGTGTGTGCAGTTCCAAGTAGGTTGTCTGGGGAGCCTCACTGAGAAGGTAATATCTGAGCAAAGGCCTGAAACAACCAAGGGGACCAGCTGTACAGAAATCATGGGAAGAGAGTTCCAGGCAGCAGAAACAGTCTGTGCAAAGGCCCTGAGGCAGGAGCAGGAACTGTGAAGGAACAGCAAGGAGAGGAGTGTGGCTGGGAAGAGAGACTGTGAGCATGGGAAGAGGTGAGGTCAGGGAGGGGAGGTGGGGGCAGGAGACTGAGCTGGGTCTTATGTCCATGGTGAGAGTCATGGCCTTGACTCTGAGGGACCCGAGCTGACTGATTTTAACAGGATCTCTCTGGCTGCTGAATGGGGAGTCAACTGTGAGGCCAGGAATGGAAGGAAGCAGGGAGACCCATTAGAAGCTGTTATATTATACATAAAAACTCTTTCCAACTAGACATAAGCAAAGAATGACCAGGAAGAAAAAGGAAAGCCCGACAATGATAGGAATGTGTAGCTGGACCTAGTCACGGATTTTGTCTTGATGAATGCCAGCGGGTGTCAGGCGCTAACAGCCAACCAGACCCTGAGTGAGATGTTCATTTGCCACAATCAGAGCAACGCAGAGAACAGAAAACAGATTTTTTTTCACCACGTATTTCAAAGCCTTTAAAAATACCAAACCATTAAAAAAAACACCCTTTCATATGGAAATCTTTTAAACTTAGAGAAAAGTTGCAAAAATGGTACAAAGGACATCAGAGTTTTTACTCAAGATTGGCCTATTCTTTTTACTCCATTTGCTTTAGCATCTGTCTTCTCTCTCCCCCCTCCCCATATTTCCCCCCTTAACTACCTGAGGGTGAGTTGCCTGCATCAGGCCCTTTACCCCTAAACACTTTCATGTATTTAAATATTCCCATGCTTTTGAGTTTTTTGATGCCAAGTTGCCTACACTTTAGCCAGGGCTTTGAGAATCTTTGAGATCCTTTGAGTATCACTGGATGTAGTGGGGGGAAAGCTGGTTTGAGGGCATATGAGTCCCTCAGGCCGGGTTCGGATCCCAAGAAACTCCTGGCACTCACAGGCCAGTTCTATGCCATTTGGCAAATGACTTCATGTCTTTAAGCCTTAGTTTTCTCTAGAGTCTATGGCAAACTACTGCCTGAGGGACAAATCCTCCCACCACCTCTTTGGTTCCTCTGGGATGGCAGCTCTGGCTCCACTGTATTTATTATTTATCTAAGTTGAATTTACTGCGGTGACATTGGCTAATAAAATCATGTAGGTTTCAGGGGTACATTTCTATAATACACCATCTCTATATTGTATTGTGTGTTCAGCACCCCAAGTCAAGTTTCCTTCCATCACCACTTATGCCCCCTTTACCCTCTTTTACCTGCCCCCCCCACCCCGAGTTCACTCTGGTAATCACCATGCTATAGTCTGTTTATGAGTTTTTGTTTTTGTTTTTCTTAATCCCTTAACCTTTTTCACCCAGCCCCCCTCCAGCCTCCCCTCTGACAGCTGTCAGTCATCCTCTGTATCTATGAATCTGTTTCTATTTTGTTTGTTGCTCTGGCTACATTTTAAGGTGGCTCTGCTTATATTATTTAGGGGTGCTCTTTGCCACCCCTAAATTAGAACATCTCAGGAGAAAGACAAGTAAAGTGATGAAGGTTACGAAACCACAACACACGAGAAAGAGTTAAGGGAAGAGAGAAGGTTGCTGCTTTCATTTTCTGGGGATTACGGACTGGCAGAAAAACTAGACACCTTATCTGCAACCAGCTCAGTACAAGGTTCCGAAGAGGCTGATCTCATGAGGAAGGAATTTTTCCTGAACAGGCCGTCTCCTGGGGAAACAGGCCCCAACCTCTCCCTCTCCCGCCATGCAGAGGTAGGCAACATCTAATAAGTTTGCTTGCCCACCACCTACTCTACTTCTTTGGCAATAGCACCTGGTTTTCCTTTGGGGGACCCCTCCTCACTCTCAATCCATTTGATCATGTGACTCTGGGTCTATTTCCAGCTCCAGAGCTGCACTAATAGCCCATGTTTGGCCAATTAGAGCATTCCAGCACCGAGCCACGGTGACCAGTCCATGTAAGGACATGTGATTGAAGGTAGCCTCGGGCGGTGGTTGAGCTGGTGGGGTATATACCTGCAGCCACTAGGAGCTTTCTTGTCACACTACACGGTGAGAACCTGCCTGAGACTAAAGCCACTGTGGAGAAAAGCAGAGTTGAGAGATATATGGAGGAGTTTCTTGACAAAATTGAGTCCCTGGATCCAGCCATACCTGAAGCTTATGTAGGACAAAAACACTTTCTAATTCTTTGTAAGCCAGTTCAAGCATTGGGTTTTTGTCCCTTGCAATGCAGAATGCTGTCTGATACAGGGCAGAAAGATCCTTTCACCTCAGGAGTTCCAAGATTTGATGAGATTGTGCATGAGTCAGATGCTGTGACTTGTGGAAGAATCCACTAGTGGGATTGATTGAGAGGGTTGGGCAGGAGACAGAAGGAAAGCAGAGAGTGGCCTGTGGCCCTTTACCTGTGGCCCTGGCCCCTCCAGCCTCTTGTCACCAGGAGATAGGCAATGCTGCCGATGAGGAGAGACCCAGCGGCAAGAGATCCAATGAAGATGGCGGCCACAATCCCAGCGCTCACAGGCAGGTGTGTAATGGGCAGCTCCGTAAACTTTCCTGAGGAGTGTCAGAGATTAAAGAGCACTGATATGTGACTGCAACTACCAGCCCAGAGCTCTCTCCTACTTTTCAGACCTGAGTATCCAACCGTCTGGCTGATTCCACTGCACATAAAACCCAATGTGTCCATGCCCAGCCGGTGTGGCTCAGTAGGCTAAGCATTGTCCCGTGCACAGAAAGGTTGCCGGTTCGATTCCTGGTCAGGGCACACATAGAAGGCAACTAATTGATGTTTCTCTCACATTGATGTTTCTCTCTTTGGGGGGGCTACAGGGGACTTGACTTGCAGGGTTCTCAAACTCAGCATGTCAGATTCGGAACAAAGCCTACATGACTTCTGGCCCCCACCATGAGGACTTCCAGCCTTTAAACTCAAGTTGGACACTTATGTCCCAACCCTTCTTTGGCAGCTAAGTTCATAGACTCTGAGGTCAGAATACTGGGGTTCTAGTCCTTGCTTCCTAGTTGCTTTTGTTGACCTTGGGCAGACTGATCAACCTTTCTGTGCCTGTTTTCCCATCTGTGAAATGGGGATAATAAGAAGACCTACCTTGTAGGGTTTTTGTGAAGACTGAATGACTTTACACACACCAGGAGGTCACTTTGGGTAGAGGATAGAAAGCTGTTCCTTTTCCAGAAACGGTACCAGAAACTTTTGCACCTTCTGTCTCATCCAATCCCCACAACAGCAGGTGGAAATTCAGTGGCCTCCCTGAGTGACTCAGGAGGTGGGGCAAGGCTGAGGCTGGCTGGCTCAGGGAACCTCTCAGGTCCTGTCCTTCCCTCTCACTCACTCATTGCCCAATCTTCTTACACCATCCAGGCCCCCTCGGCCAGGACCTGCTCGCTCTGACACCTGCTGCCAGTCCACCCGCCCAGTCTCATCACCGGGGCTCCCTTCCTCACTGTCCCGGCCGCCCGGCCTTCGCCCGCGCTGTTCCCTCTGCACCGCATGCTCTTCCCATGCGCCGTAACTCCTGCTCGTTTCCCCATTCCCAGCTCTGCCAGACGCTTTCTCTGACAACCCAGGCCACGGAGACTCCTGATACACCCTTTCTTCAGAGTTTACTTACTTAGTTACGCAATTAGTGGCTTAATGTTGGCAGAGCGGGCATGTGGGTGGCCCTCATCACCG